GAAAGGAAAGGAAAGGAAAGGAAAGGAAAGGAAAGGAAAGGAAAGGAAAGGAAAGGAAAGGAAAGAAGGAAAGGAAAGGAAAGGAAAGGAAAGGAAAGGAAAGGAAAGGAAAGGAAAGGAAAGGAAAGGAAAGGAATGAATCTACCCAAGTACTTGCACCTCATAACCAAGGAGAGCTGCCATCTTGATAGGCAGCCATGACCAGCCACTCATGAAGAGTTGCTGACCTCCCCTGACCTCCCCAGAGACCTCTGCTGACACAGGGTCTATTTCAGACAGAACAATCACCAGCCTGTATGCTATCGGTTAGACTCATAGTGCCAGGAAAGATTGAGAGAAGGTGCATGTCAGAAACAGATGGTGATGGCTGATAGGCTGCTGCTGAGGAACAAACAGCCCCCCAGTTCTTTCTTACCTCAACTTATGCAGAGCAGTACCAAGTCACAAAACGTAAAGCAAGATGTGCAGTATCTCAGACTCAAAGAAGTGGACTGACCACTAGTCCATCCTTGGGAGTGTTATGGGAACTATGACATTCTCCCTGTTCTCCTGGGTAGGAGAGGGAGGTAGACCCAGAAATGGTCATATCATTGTTATTCAATGTATTCAGAGATAGAGGGGGAAAGCACCCAGTGTCAGGCCTACGGAGGACAAAAATCTATCCCAGCATGGAGGATTTGCCAGAAGATGACCTGGACACAGCAAAGCATGACCTGATAATCATCAGATAGCTTCACTTGCAGTTTCCCATTGTTGTAATGTGGAGATCCTTGTCTAGAAGCATTTACAGTAGATGGTAGAGTGGACATGTAAGGCTTTGCCTGTCACACTTGCTTTCTTCTTAAAGAATAATCCCTTCTTTCCTAGGGAACTGTTCTCCCACTCCATTCCAACTATGTGGTGTTGGCTAATCCCCATTCCTCATTTTTCTTGTCTCCTTCACTTAACCCAGGGTGAACTCATCCAACTCTTCTCCTGGAACTTTCCAAATTGAGCCAAGGGAGAGGGACATTCCTTCTGTGGTGATAAGGTCACAATGTAAGAGGTTAGGAAAACTTTAAGATGGACACTTCCCTTATATGGGAGAAGCTGGTCTGTAGTGGGACAGAGTAAAGAAGCTGACACCCAAAAGAACAATGAAAATAGATGGCAGAGACGGAGTCTGATAGTTCCAAGGCCCTGATCCGAGCAGCCCCTGAGGCCTAGTAGCACCCTTCACTCTTCCCAGTTACGTGGGAAATACCACAGAATCCCTGCAAAAGTCCTCTTGCCGAAGCTGGTTCCAATTTGGTTTCTACCACTTGCAGTCAAGAGTCTCACGTTAGCCGCAACTTCTTGACATTTTCATCCTTACCTTTGATTTCACACTGCTCCTCTCCTCTTCCCCCTTTCCAAGAAGAGTCAGCCCCCGCCTCAGTGCTGCCAATTTCTCCTGACTCTGGCTATTTATATTTTGAAAACCTGGCCAATATTCTTGCTTCTAGCTATGCCTCTAGTAATTCTGGATCGATAGGTTTCTCAAAGCCAGCTCCCATTTCAAACTACAACCAGGAGCCCTCACCAGAGAATCCAACTGAGAGTAGGCCAAGAGTAGGGCCCAAGAATCTGTAGTTTTAAAAAATACACGCTGGTTGATTCTGACGTGCAGCCAGATGGAAGCATCACTAGGCCAGATGAGCCAAGAAGCTTGTCAACTTGAAGAGTATAGGAGTGTCTTAGACATGGCACAAATTAACTGCTCAATCTCTCGTCAAGTTTCGAGAACTGCCGAGTCTGGTTTACCTCACAGAAAGCAGAATGACTGCAGGCTTGGAAATAGGTAATAGCCGTTTCCAGCTGCTCTAAGAACTATCCTGCAGGGGCTTGGGATGACGTCACCATGGGGCACAGGCCTTACGGGGGCAGGCCTGGCCCCTTATACAAGCTGCCTTTGATTTCCTTCATGCCGGAGATGGATGATGCAGAGGAAATTCATTTCTTTTTAAAGTGTAGAGTTACATCACAAGACTGTACAGTATTTCTTATAGTGTCTTTCCAATGTGGCTATCTTCAAAGGAGCTGGGCATCAGTATTCCCGAGGCAGCAGCCAAACTGAAGTACAGGGGAGAAATTTTCTGTTACTCCATGGAGCAGTATCACCTTCGGAGCGGTCAAAACCGCTCTCCACCTCACGAGAGATGCCCAATGATGGAAATGGCACGGCGGCCCTTTTTTGAACGTGGATAAGGGAGAGTGGTGAGGGAGAGACTGGGTTTGCTGCAGGAGTCAGCCAAGTAAAGCAGCGACTGGCCTCACTCCTCACCTGGTTCACTGACGTTTGGACAGTGGCTGAGCTGAACCTGCCTCGCCGACTCTCAACTTCTCTTGGATTTTGGCATGTGCTGGCATCAGGCATCTGTCGTGGCATCAGGCATGACACGACAGGTGTTTCAAGGCTTTCTTCCATCAGGAAGAAAGTTTGTATTTACCTCTTACATTTTTATGTTATTATGTTTTGCTTTTATTTCTTCTCAGCCTGCAGAAATCGTGAGTTTAAGAAGGGGGGGCGGGGGGGGGGCTGGGAATGATTAGAATCAAAGAAACTTTGCCATTTGGCCAAAAGTATCCCTCAACCCAAAGCTGCGATGCTCTGCTTCGCTCTTTTTCTTTTCTTGCTTTCCCCTCCACTTTCTTGCTTCTCTCTTTCTGCTTCCCTCCCTTCTTTCCTCTCCTCCCCTTCTCTCAACACATTCAAAGAGTGCCCTAAACGGTGACAAACTTGCATGTGCTTCCCTTATGACTAAACCCCTGGGCCTCTCGCCAACCCCCCACAGATGGCCCCGAACTGCAGGCACCCCCGGAGGAGAGCCCCACGTGTGCTTGGAACGGCCAGCGCGCAGCGTGGTGGGGAGTGCCGGTGTCTCGGTCCTGGGGGAAGGCAAAGCGGCTTCCAGGAGGAAACGGGCGTTTCCTTCCCACGCGCTCGAGCGAGCCCTGGGTCCCGGCCCCGAGACTCCACCCTGCCCCTCCCGGCGCTTCGGGAAAAGCCAGTCGCCACACACAGGCACACGCAGGCCCCGGGGCCGCGCCCTAAGGAGAGCGGCACCCACGGCCAATTGCCATGGCAACCCCGGGGTTCGTTCCATTCCCCACCCAGCAGATTCCCCCCCCCCCCCCCCTTGCCGGCCCTGCAGCCAACCCGAGCGAGCGCGTCCCGGGAACGCGCTATAAAACCTGCGCCGGTGCCGCCGGGGGACAGAGGCGGGCGCCGGACCTGCAGCGGGGCCAGCCGGGCCGATCTGGGGCGCCAAGTCTCGTCTCGTCAAAGCGGGAGGGAAAAGCCCGATCATGCAGAGTGTGCAGAGTCTGTCGAAGCGGTGCTTTTGCCTGGGCTTTCTGCTGCTCCACGTCCTGGGACAGGTGAGTGGCACGCCCCTAAGCTGCGTCTGGTTACTTTGCCCTAATGAGTGGCCCGCGCCCGGTGACCGAGTGGCTCTGCCTTCGATCTTTCCTGCTGAGAGCTTTCTCCTCGTCCCGCCTGCACCAGGTCGCTGCGACCCAGCGCTGTCCCGCCCAGTGTCCCGTGCGGTGTCCCAAGACGCCGCCAACCTGCGCCCCCGGGGTGAGGGCCGTGCTGGACGACTGCTCCTGCTGTCTGGTGTGCGCCCGCCAGCGCGGCGAGAGCTGCTCGCTGCTGGAGCCTTGCGAGGAGAGCCGCGGCCTCTTCTGCGACCGCAGAGCGGACCCCAGCGCGGGAACCGGCATCTGCATGGGTAATCCGGCCCCCTGCGCCTCCTGCCCTCTGCTCCCGCAAGCTGCCTTTTCCTCTCCTCCTCTTCCCAGAGGGTGACTTGCAAATAATAATAATGGTGATGGTGCAGTAGGTGATGTTTGTGGAGCGCTTACTGTGCGCCAGGTATGGTCTGGGGCCGGGCGGGGTGCGGGTGCTTGCGGCTTTGGGGAGCCGCCAGAAGCCAGAGAGGAAACCTGCCCGCAAAGGTGAGAAGCATTCGTCACTTGCCTCTAGATAGAGGGGCAGCGGAGCAGAGTTTAGAGCCAGTGAAATCATTTCCTTTGGACATTTCCAAGGGGATGCTTGTGGGTGACGGGATTCTGGGATAACTCACATGCTCACAGTTCCCCAGCACGTTTGTTTTCACACCTGTAATGGTCCTGTTTGAGCTAAAACAGCCCCTGGTCTCCTGGGACCGCTATGTAACCCCAGTTTGGACTGTGAATAAAATAAAATGCAGGCAACGGGCCAGTCCAGGCTGGTGAGACCTAATCGATGGGGGGTCATTTTTCCACGTGGTGCACCATTTATTCTGAGGCTGCCTGCATCCCTCCAACCCCACAAGAGGGATTGGAATAGCCTTCTCCTTTCTTCTCTAAGCTGGTGATGATTTATTGTGCTGGAGTGCCAAGGAATCCCAGCACCCTTCCCGATTTGACCAGTTAACCTGTTTGGAGAATACAAAGTGCACTTTTGTCTTTTTAATTCTAACCTGCTGGAATAGGAGAGGTCAAGGAGGTTCTAGCTAAATGACTTTATCATTGGGAGCAAGAGCTGTGGCACCTGGGGAGTGTCACTTCTTAGTTGTGCTCCTCTTTCTTCATCTGCAAAATAAGTGGCAGGATGAGATGGGTTTCTTCTTGCTCAGGGAGGCCTCCGAGAGGACATCTCTCTGCCAGAGATAGAGAAGAAACTAGGAAAAGAAGGACCCGAGGTTTGCATGTAGCTTTTCTAGCTGTGTTGTTGTTTATTCTCTCTGCCCTTCCCTCTGTGCCTTGCTCCCCTGACACCCTAGCTGTAGAAGGAGACAACTGCGTGTTTGATGGGGTCATTTACCAAAGTGGAGAGACCTTTCAGCCAAGCTGCAAATACCAGTGCACCTGCAGAGACGGGCAGATTGGCTGTGTGCCCCGCTGTGAGGAAGACCTGCTCCTGCCCCAGCCTGACTGCCCAGCTCCCAGGAAAGTCGAAGTGCCCGGGGAGTGCTGTGAAAAGTGGATCTGTGACTCAAATGAGAAGGCGGAATTAGGAGGCCTTGCCCTTCCAGGTAAGATACTCAGGATACCTGACGGTGATCAGTGCCCAGGTTAAATGCAGGCAGGAGGCACGTATCCTCTTTGGGGATCTGCAATGAGAAACTGGCCTCAGTTTCTGCCCATTCGGTTGTGGATTCCAGATTGCCCACTGAGATCAAGCACATCACGTGTTGGAATCCTAGCCAAGTTGCTGAAGTATGCACACAGTTTCTCCTAAAGAGAACCTGCTGCATTCAGTGGTTCTTTTGAGCAAGGGGATTGATTTTGTCTTATTGGATGACTACTGTTTAGATTCTCATCTGCCCCCATTTGACCCTTAAATAAAAGTAAAAAATATAAATTATCACTCTTTTCTGGATTCTGCGTATTACCTTGGGCTCTCAAGCAGCATCCGTAAAGACTGCTACTTTTCCCTGAACCGGTATCACAGAGACATGTCACTTTTCCAGATGCTGGTGGAAGGGTGAAGGGTCTTTGTTTTGCTTTTCTTTTTGTTTTATCGTATAAAGGAAATTGTTTTTTGAAAAGAAAAATTCAAGAGTCAGGAGAGACTATTTTAGAAGCCATTAATCACCCAGATTATTTATACTGGCAGTACATGGAGCTTTACAGTTTTTCTGAGGTCAGAAATGATCAACCATGACCTACAGATAGGAAAACTGCCATGTAGAAGAGAGAGCCCCAAGCCATACATGTTAAGTGTTGGGACAGAACTTTTTGTAATCAAAGTCCAAGTGTCTATATCCCATAATCCAAACAACCCGTTTTACCAGTCTAGAGCAAACTATTTCAAAATATTGCCTTGAGTTGAGAGGTTCTAATTGCTCATCTAATTAAAATTCCATCATGATCCTTTTTCTGTACAAAATCGCATGTTGAAAACGCTACAGTTTATGGAATGGCTGTTGATGCTATACTGTTCTACATTCTTGAGACTACCAGACTTCATTAAGACAGCGTCTCCCAAGCTTCTTAAGGACAATTCAACAGTCCTTCTTCAAAGCTTTCTTAAAGGCCTACACTGTGCTGGTATTGTGCTACCTCTTTAGGGTTTATAAATACAGAGATCCAGTTCTGGCCCCCGAAAGCACCTGAGTTTAGTAGGTACAGAATTGAATGAACCCTCTTTCCAATGATGGTTGAAAGGACCACTCAGCAATCCCCATGGTTTACTCAATATGGCCACCTTGATTTGTACATCCCATAGCCTACAGGACAGAAGCCACTGTAGGTGTTGCAGTCTCCGACTCTAGCATCAACTGCATTGAGCAGACCACGGAGTGGAGCGCATGCTCCAAGAGCTGTGGCATGGGTTTTTCCACCCGGGTCACCAACCGGAATCCACAGTGTGAGATGGTGAAGCAGACTCGCCTCTGCATGGTGCGGCCCTGTGAACAAGAACACAAGCAACCGACAGATAAGGTAGGAGCCTGGAGGCAGCCAGAGGAGGTCATGTTGCCTGATGGGCATCTGGGCTCTAGACAGTCACTGTGACACTGTGATACTTGTTGACTCGGAGGTCAGCTGTAGCTGGGAGTGAGCCCCAGAGGAAAGGCAGAGAGGTTCCTGAAATGAGTGAGTTTACCTTCTTTTTCTTCCTTCTCTTTAATGTATTGAAATATCCCAAGCAACTCACAGCCGGTCCACAGGTAAAGAGGGTGGAGCCCTAGTTGAGAATGATCTGGCAAATCTCATTGCATTCCTGGAGAAAAACTGGCGGCTCAGTTGCCGAGCACGGTTGATTTGAGAGAAGTGATTTCTGACCTCAGTTTTCTTCACCCCTTTAGGCTTGATCTGCAGGAAGCACAGGATAGAAACCATGTCTTCCTTACTCAGCCCTCAGTCCCCAACATCCTACCTGTACATATTGTGTGCTTGATACACAATTGTGGACGAATAAATGAATGGGTGTCTGGGAATTATTTTCAGTATTTTAAAAAGTCTAGTGGGAATAGTATATTTGCCAGCATAAGGCGATAGGTGCCAAATAAAATAGCACATTTCTTTCCTTTTTTGCTGGAATTATATCAACTCAGTATGTTAACACGGAGTATAAGGCATGCGGATCAGAAGCTCTGATTGGTTCCTGATGACATCACACGCCTTGTTACCAGAGCCCTAGATCAGATAAATTCAATACCCAAATTGAACCATTAGTTGGAAATTTGTACAAACTTAATGCTAAAATAAAACAGTTTCTAGCAATGAAAGATTTACATATCTCCACACTGAGGCAATATCATCGAATGCCTAAGGGTGCAACCCTGGAGCCAGACAGCCTAAAACCCTGGCTTACTCCATGAACTAGCTGTGGAATCTGGGTCCATTTTCTTAACCTCTAAGCCTCAATTCCTTCCCCCATATAATGGGACCGTCGACAGTACCTACCTCAAAGTTGTCATGAAGATTAAGTAGAATGAATTTGCAAAGTGTCTGGGCATAGATTACCCTGTTAACATTAGGCACCATTACTTAACATTAGGCCTCATTTCCATTTGTTGCTAAAATGAGAGTCTCTAGTGGTCATATTAGTTAAATAGCTACTTAGCTATATGACTTGGAAGTCCATCCTAATTTATGTTTCTTCCACCAATTTTGAAATAACACCTAGAAGCATCTTATCTCTAAGATAAGCTAGAAGCTGCACCTTCCCACACTTAGGGGAATTCTATTTATTTAGTTATTTGTTTATTTATTTATGTAATGTGTATTTATTTTTGAGAGACACATACACACAGTGAGAGTGGTGGAGGGGCAGAGAGAGGGAGACACAGAATCCAAGCAGGCCCAAGCTAGAGCCTGATGCGGGGCTCAAACTCACGAACCATGAGATCATGACCTGAGCTGAAGTTGGACATTTAACCAACTGAGCCACTTAATTATTTTTTTTAATTAAAAATTTTTTTTAATATTTTTATTTATTTTTGAGAGAGAGATAGTATATGAGCAGGGGAGGGGCAGAGAGAGAGGGAGACACAGAATCCGAAGCAGGCTCCAGGCTCTGAGCTGTCAGCACAGAGCCTGACGCAGGGCTCAAACTCATGAACCAAGAGATCATGACCTGAGCTGACGTCAGACGCTTAACCAACTGAGCCATACAGGTGCCCCACACACTTAGGGAATTCTAACATACCTGTTGCACAGTTATGTAGATTCACCCACAAAGCCACCTTTGTCTCTCTTTCTGTCTCTGTTCCCCTCTCCTGTCTGTCTCTCTGCTTCTCTCTCTCTCTCTCTCTCTCTCTCTCTCTCACACACACACACACACACACACACACACACACATCCACACACTCAGATGTTACTGATCTTGTACCCTTTTTTGTGGACATTAGCAAGAATATATGCTACACATTAAATATGAAAAGGTAAGAAACAAGAGACCCTTACTGTTGTCAAGGACACACTTGCTTCTTTATTAAATAAGGCATTTCCATGTCATGCCTCTAAAATTTTGCTTTTTCTATTGTTTCTTTCGCCAAAATTTATATTTTTTTTAATTGGTTTTTTTCCCAATGTTTTTATTTATTTTTGGGACAGAGAGAGACAGAGCATGAACAGGGGAGGGGCAGAAAGAGAGGGAGACACAGAATCGGAAACAGGCTCCAGGCTCCGAGCCATCAGCCCAGAGCCTGACGCGGGGCTCGAACTCACGGACCGCGAGATCGTGACCTGGCTGAAGTCGGACGCTTAACCGACTGCGTCACCCAGGCGCCCCCAAAATTTATATTTTTAATGTAACTTGCACCCAGTTTAATATTAGGAAGTATTATATTTGAGATACATACATTTCATAAAGATTCCAAAATTTATTTGGAATCTAGGGAAATACTAGCATAATAATCATTACTTCCTAACACCAAGAGATGTTTCAGTGTGCTTCTCAAAGACCAGCAGCAGCATCTAAGAACTCGTTAGAAATGCAAATTACTGGGGCTCACATCAGACCTATTGAATCGGAAACCATGGATCTAAGGCCCAATAATCTATGTTTTAGCAAACTTTCTAGAAGATTCTGATGTACAATACAATTTGAGAGCCACTGATTTAAGAGAATCCCAAGCCTCAGCTCTCCATAGCTGTGGGCTCTGCCTAAGAAGGTGAAAAGCAGAAGAGAATTGTGGCAAATTAGTATGTGAAGAAATCTAAGTGGAAAATAACCATAGAGTCAATGTTGTCCTGAGTTATAAATATGGGGGGGGGGGGTTATCAACCATTACTAATGGCATATTGAATAAATTCTCCACTTACCTTGCCTTCATGGAAAATAACCTTAATATCTCATTGTCTTAGACGTTCCTGAGGTTATAGTATATTAGAAATATTGGGCTTGTGTCATTCATTCATTCACTAACTAGATATTTCTGGTGATGTTAACCCTGTGAGACTCCATTTACTCATCTGTGAAACGTGGGTAGTTGTCCCTTATGTGAATAACAGATCCTTGTAGGGGTGAATGTTGTTAATAAGGTTAAGTGAGTTAATGCTGAAAAGTATTTGAAACATTAGAAGGCGTGCAATGTTGCCAGGTATATTTCCTTTCTCTTTATAACACCTAAGAATGCATTGGATAAAAAAACATCAAAGACTGTTTCAGTGCCTTGAAAAAATAGCTTTCTTTAGCCTATATACACTTTTACCTTCATCCTTATCAGCACAAGGTCAAAAGATGGTTGTGTATGATTAGGCCAGGTTTTCACATTCTAGGCAGGAAAGAAAATGAATCCAGGAAGCAATAAAGAACTGTACCTGTCTGAAAGGCAAAGGGTTTCCAAGAATTCCTTGGTTTATATATCATTGGCCAGAACTTTAGCACAAAGCCATTTCAAGCTCCCACATACTCTGGGGAAGCAAATACTTTTACCTGACCAGATTGTCCAAACAAAACTAATGTATGTCAGCAAAGAAGAAAGCACAATGAATATTGGGTAGGCAACTAGCAATTTATTCCGTATCCCTAAAATGGTCCCACAGAGGAATGGTAGCCATTCCATGAATTGCTCCTTTTCTTCTTTCTTAGAAAGGTAAGAAGTGTCTTCGTACCACAAAGTCACTCAAAGCCATCCACCTGCAGTTCAAGAACTGTACCAGCCTGCACACCTACAAGCCCAGGTACTGTGGGGTCTGCAGCGATGGCCGGTGCTGCACCCCCCATAACACCAAAACCATCCAGGTAGAGTTCCAGTGCTCCCCAGGGCAAATCATCAAGAAACCAGTGATGACCATCGGAACCTGCACCTGTCACAGCAACTGTCCTCATAACCACGAGGCCTTACTCCAAGAGTTAAAGCCAAACACCAGCAGAGGGGAAGTGTAAGATGTGTTCCTTGAGGAGGATACCTACAGAGGCAAAGTGTAGCTACCCAACATCAAATGAATATAAGAAAAATTAGGAAGAATTATTACTTTACCCCTGAGTCCTATGTATTGCCTGTAGTCATATGAGGTCAGTTATATCTGTCTTGTTTTTTTTAATGAAAGATCTGATTAACTGTAAACTTGAAATCAAGTTAAGCTCAGGATAGTACTTAGGGGTGATTTACTTTTCTGTGGTATTGGCTACAAATGAAAATTTCTATAAATGTAAGAAATCAGATACATGTTTTTACTGTGTAGATGATCACATTACACTCATCTTACTTTGTTATACACTAGTGGAATGTCAAGAAAATGTCACTGTCACAAATGTCAGTGATGTTTAATATCATACTGAACACGTTGTCATACAAATATCTTGGCATATATCTTTGACTTGACAGGCCTCTGTAGAGCGCTCTTTTTGAGCAGCTCAACTCTGAACTTCCAAGTTCAAGATCCGAGGACACGTGTAGCTGTTCAATTTGAAATCCAGAGACCATTAGTCTTCTGTTTCGTTGCATACTAGGAAGCAGACTGTATCTACAGGAATGGAATGTTTGTTAGTTAAGTGGACTGGTGCGATAAACTTGCTCCATTTCACACGAGTTGACTCCTTTCCAAAGAAAGAAGCCAACAGAAAACTCTGCTTGATGCAGAGGAGACCAGGCCACTCAGCCCTTCCATTTCTACATGCTGGAGGCTGCTGGAGCTCCCCACTTTTTCATTCAGAAGAAGCAGAACATATCAGCAGAGACTTTCTCACCTTACTGATGAGGAAACCGGGGCCCTCTGATGACTTTCAAATGTGCTGGTAGTAGATTTTGAAAAAGAAGAACAAAATCACCATGACCGTGGTGGTAAAATACCATAAATTTTATGGGAGTTCAGAATTATTGTAGACATGCCCAAAACTTATCCTTGGGCCCTAATTATTCAAACTCACAAACAAGATATATGTGTATACATATGTGTATCTAATTTGTCAAGCTATAAGATAGCCTGCAAACGTAAATGTATACATCCTTTTAATGTCACCATATGTGTTCAGCTTTTCTCTTTTAAAGTATTTATATGTAAATTATACATTTTTTAATATTCTTTTTACTTTCTCTATTTGTCAGACATCACTAAATAAACACGATTTTATCAGTGCGTGACTATGCCATTACTTATGGGCTTATGAGTTGTTCATTGAAAATATAAATAATGGATGGAACTAGAGAGCACAGTGCTAAGTGAAGTAACTCAGACAAAGACCAATGCCATATGATTTCACTCACATGTGGAATTTTGGGAACAAAACAAAGAAAAAAAGAGACAAACAAAAGAAGCCAGACTCTTAAATACAGAGAACACACTGGTGGTTGTCAGAGGGGATGTGAGTCCGGGGTTGGGTGAAATAGATAGAGGGGGGTAAGAGCACACTTCTCGCGATGAACACTGAGTAATGTAACGAATTGTTGGCCCCTTATATTGTACACCTGAAACTAATATAACACTATATGTTCATTATACTTCAATATTAAAAGGAAAATATAAGTAAAATTAAAATTAACAAATTCAATCAGACACCAAGTGACAGCATCTATTGAAAGCAATGTAGCTATTTTTAGATGAGCTTGCAATGTCTTAGCAGCAGGGAAGCAAAAGACAGTTCTTGCTGAGTTAGGTGATCTCTATTGCTGAGGCCTCGGATATTCTCCACACTGTTTACTCAAGCCAACATCTTGAGCCCTAATATTTTTTTCTGGACAACCTGCTAGACACATCTGTGTATTAAAAATTAAACATGGATCAAACAAAACTTGCCTCTCTGGCTTCATTCTCTAGTCAAAGGGCTCTCCATCCTCCCAATTACCCAGCTTAAACCACCAGCATTATCTCAATCAACCTGCTCTTACCTTGTGCCCAGAAAAGCATATATCCAGGGGCAATGCAAAGCCCAGCAGGAACAGGGGCTGCCATCTGGGCAGGGTGAGGGTCAGAGTTAATATAACCTTTATGTTAAAGTCCTGGTGGATGCAATGGGTCTATAGTTCTCTCATAATTAAAAAAAAAAAATCATATTCCCAACTTTACTTCCCCTTACCTGCAGCCTCTTTCCTTACCCATTTATCTAGGATGTTTTTATTTGTCCCTTAAGATAGATTGGAAAGACAATTGGATTTCTAGAGTTTAGTCAAAGGAAATTATTGAGGATAGCTAACATTTACTGCACACTTACTTTGTGCTGAGCACTTACCTTCATTAACAGCCTTTAATTTCCCAGTGGCCCTGTGAAGTAGACACTCCTCCCCATGTTACACATGAGTAAACTCAAAAATTTTTAAACATATGGATCTAGAACTCAAACCAAAGTCCTTTTGTTTCTACTTTATCACGTGGATCTGTCAAAGATTATCTACAAGGCTGCTCAGTCCAATATTGTCCATAATGACAAGATGGGGACATTCAAAGATCCAATGATGTAGATTTGTTTAGATAAATCCCAGTACAGCCACTATGATGAAGAACAAAGTTACCTTTAAAATGAAAATGTCAGAAAATACTTACTTCCCCAAAAAAGGTGTAGAACTATGAAAAAAAGTGGGTTTTGTTCAAGAATATTTAGGGACACAAATGTAAAGAGAACTAGAGACAATGGGCAGTAAAGCAGTATAGTGTTATGCCAAGTTGGGCCCTTTATTTTCTTGTATTTTCTTTTTTTAACTGAAAACATACCTTTAAGAGCAGGGGGGTGGTGGTCAGGTGGTGAGGGGGAAGGGCAAAGCTAAATTCAGAGATTCTTTCAAGCAAAGTTCCCCTCCTACCTCTACTCATTGAGTTGGCTGCCCTTTCCAGCATCCAAAACACTTGTTAGGGCATTCATTTTGTTCATTCAAAAAATACTTACTGACTGCTTCTGGGTGCCTAGCATTGTTTTAAGTTCTGGGAGTATCGCCATCAGTAAAAGAAACAATAAAATAAACAAGTTATCTCTCCTCCCTGGAATTTCCATTCTCCCTGTTGGCACAAGCAGGCAAAAAGCAGTAAATGGTCAAAGAAGATGAGTATCAAATAGTGATAAATAAATCCTAGAAGATCATCAAAACAGGGTGAGCTAAGAATTTCTCAGTGGCCAATTTAGCTGGAGGTGGTAAGGAAGCTCTTTCTGAAGAGGTAACATTTCATCCTAGATCTGAATTACCAAGATTAGGAGAAAGAATCTGCAAGGCAGAAGTAACAGCTAGTGCAGAAAACCTAGTGTCAGGAATAAGCTTGTAGCTTCATTACAGAAGATCTGCATGGCTTGAGTGTGCAAGGGGAGATAGGAATGATGTAGGCTTCCCTCTACCATCATAATCTCCCAGTCTTTTACAACCAATTCTTTAAATTCCTTTACACTAAGCATCTTGAGGCCAGCATCTTAGTCTTCTTTGTATCTGCCCCAGTATCTGGCACACGGTAGGACTTCACTATATATCTATTAAATGAATGAATGAATGAATGAATGAATGAACAAAAGGTAGAAATTTTTTTGAAATAAATGTTAGACTTTTAAACTATCAACTTCATTATTACTATCACTTGGAGAGCAATCCCCCACTCTCTGACACACACAAGCACACATGCAGGCATGCAATCCTGAAATAACTGAAGACATTTGAAAAAATGTGATCTGATCTACAAATATCTGTTAAGTCCAGAATGTTCTAGTAATACAGCAAGGAAAGCAACATTTACTGAGCAGGGTTGAAGGCTGCAGAAAGAGTGCAGGTTTGGGAGCTGTTCAAGCCTGGGTTTGAATACCAGGCCTACTCTTTCCTAGCTGTGGGATATTGGACAACTTGTACATACTCTCTGAGCCTCAGTTTCCACATCTGTAAGAGGAGACCATAATATTGATTGAGTGGCCAACCACCCTTGTTTGTCCTGGACAAAGAGGGTTTCTGGGACTCAGGACTTTCGGTTGTAAGATCGGACAGTACCAGGCAAACCAGGTCACCCTTAGTAGCAACCACACACTGTTGTAAAATAATACACGTTCATAAGCACTTGACTGCGAGGCACATAGTAGGCCAGCAAATGACAGCTATTCTAATAGTAAGTATCCAGTGGAGCCAAGCTCTCTTCCTTATTCATTGCTTACATGTTCAGAGGTAGATACTACTGACCTCATTTTTACAGGGAAAGATGGAGAATATAAAGGAAGCTAATGACCTATTAAGGACACAGTAAATGAAGGAGATGGGGTTCAAAGTCAGGGTCTGCCTGAGCTCAGAGCCAAAGCTCTTTCCCTCTTCAGTGCCGCAGCCATGAGGCCAAGTATATTTTCAGCAACCAAAACAATTCCAGCAGTTTTCATTTTTGTGCTATTTTCCCAAACTATAAATGTTCTCTTTTAGAAACAGCATTGCAAAGTAGTGAGATTGTTGAGATCATTCTGTGAATGTGAAATTTTGAAAGCACTTAATTGCTGTTTAGTGATAAGGCACACTTCATTGAAAATTATTTGGAAATTTTTCTTTTACCACACAAGGGTTCAGTTCAAGAATGTGGCAAGGACGTTTTTGTACAAGGAAATAATTGGCCACAGACATATCTCTGCCTGATGAGATTATCAATAGAACTTTCCACAGAGATTTCTAGGAAGTACTGGATTTTTCTCCCAGGATCTTCCCGCAGGTACACATTGTCATCCTTCCACATGGCTTCGATCCAAAATGCTCAGTATCATAAGTCAAATTATCAAAACAGTATGTCCTTTTGGCTGTGTGCTATCAAGCCTAGTTTGAAGGTTCATTATTATTGGAAATGTATTCATCTTAACCACACTGCATGGCTCTTGCCGGCAGTGCTATGCTGTCTGGACCACAGAGGGTTCACCAAATTCAATTACCACTTCAATAACACTACTGGCACTTGCTGAACTCTGAATAATGATGAATTCTCTGCAGCCATCCAGCTGAGGACTGTGAATTACTGTTACATTAAGCCAGCTGTTCTGGGGATAATCAAGAGGTGCAAAGGGTAAGGATGTCAATGTTGTACCATTCTTCCTAAAGGATGTGTATCTCTCCTTAGGACAAGAAAAGGAAGGTCCGAATTTCAGCCCAGGGAGCTCTACAAAAGAATATACAGTTCCATTCAAATGGCAGTGTTTCACAGAACGAACTGTCTGCTGGCTCTACTGGAAGGATCCTGAAAATGAATATTTTATAATCCAAGAAGAGGACATTGCTTGGACTTCTATTTTATTAGCAAAATCTGAGAAGCGGGCTCTGCTTGTGGCAGAGGCTCAGAAGTCTGGAAGAGGTTACAGAGTTCTCTGTGTGGGTTAAATAAGGGTCAGTATGCTCCAAAGGGACCCAGATTTGTCCTGCTGAAGCAAGACCACCCCCAAGATGCTCAGAGGACCTTGGCAGAGTTGATGCCAATAAATGCAAGTTCTAGTTCTTAAAATTTCAGCCATGAGGATCTTCCCTGATACTTTGCAGAGCCTCTCAGCCCCCAGAAAAAAAAAAGGACAAAGACTACAAGGATCCTGTTGGGTGGGCTCTGTCATCTCCCCAAACTCCATATCCTTGTTCAAGAATCTACTGCAAGTTCACCTTCTCTAAGATTTCTTGACTGGCACCCATTTGCCGCCAGTGGAACTGACCACACCCTGCTTTGTGCTCAGCTGCTTCTTGTCACAATGACTACCGCAACAGCTAAAGCGCCCCGCCCCTGTTACCAGTTTTGAAGTCTGTCCCCCACTAGACTTTAAGCTCCAGGAGGGCAGGGACTTTGTCTGATTATCTCACCACTGCTTCACGCTGTACTTCTCACACTTTTCTGTCACATGACTCCAAGCAGCAAAGCATAATGAACACCTACAGCAGAAATCCAGTATCTCAGGCCAAAGTTTCTATGGCACGCCACATTTTTCAATAAAAAATTCAGGTAAATCTTGACTTCTCTTTCATATATCCATGTTTGTTAAATATAAAAATAACATTTAAAATTTCTCTTTTTAAAAGAAAAATTAATGTTTATTTTTGAGAGACAGAGAGTGAATGGGGGAGGGCAAAGAGAGAGGGAGACACGGAATAGGAAGCAGGCTCTATGCTCTGAGCTATCAGCACAGAGCCCCATGCAGGGCTCAAACCCACAAATTGTGAGATTGTAACCTGAGCCAAAGTCAGA